TTTTTTCAATTGAAAATAGTTACATTTATATTACATGGTTATATATATGTATATATATATATGTATATATGTATATATATATATATATATATATATATATTGCATAGGTGACATATTGGAGAGTATCTTCTCATAATGTGCAAATTGAATGGTTTGTAATGTTATAAGATATTTAATCAAAAGTTATCTTTTTTGTTAATTTTTGTTATGATTGTATCGCATATTTATGAATAGACATACCTTTATAATTAAATTTAATATTTGATATTTTTAGATGTCATATATTTAAATAGAAGAGAATTATTTTGAACATAATATATTAAGATAATTTTATTAGGAAAAAATTTTGGCCCCCACCTCAAAAAAATTCTGGCTCCGTCACTGACTGCAATGTTACTTAAAGCCACACAAGTAGCATTGAACATTTTCAGTAAACTAGAAATAGAATCCAAATCAGAACCCCAACAAGTATCTACAGCTCGTTTTAACGTGCCAATTTGATTAAGCCCCCTTCCAGTTTCAAGTTCACCATTAGCAATCTTAGTAGCAACTTCAATTGCTTGAGCCTCCTTTAATTCATCATTACATTTGCTAGATGCAGTAACAATGTTGATAATGAAAACTAAATTGGAGAAGAATTGGTGAACAGTAGCTACTTCTCCAGAAGCTGCAAGTAAAGCAAGTTGAAGCCTATGATCCAAACAATGAATGTAATAGGCATATGGACATTCATGGCACATTAAAGCTTGCAAGCCATTCCATTCAAAGATGACTAATATATATATATATATATATATATCAACTCTCATAATATAAACTAAAATTGTAAAAATTTAGGGGAAGGGGGCCAATTTTATTTTACACATATATTTACATATTATGAATTAAAATTCTCAAAACTTAAGGGGGCCATGGCCCCCCTCTGCCCCTCCTTGGCTCCATCATTGATTGCAGTAGATGGAGGTTCATACTCTCAACGTGGAGATGCAAATTTTGCTTTGAATCAGTTGTTATCCTTTGCACTTTACATCTTATGAAAGACATTATGAAAATTACTCATCTTCTTTGTATAGCATTGCAACGTAAATATCAAGATATTTTGAATGCAATGCATCTTGTCTCAAGCACAACAAAGCTACTGGAGAATTTTCGAGATTCGGGATGGGATAATTTCTTGGTGAAAGTTAAATTATTTTGTGAGCAACATCAAATTGATATCCCATGTATGAATGCTCAATATATTGCAAGACGTGGTAGATCTCGAAGTCATCATGATGAGATTAGTAAGGAGCATTATTATCGAGTGGATATATTTCTTGCAACAATTGATTATCAATTGCAAGAGTTGCATAGCAGGTTTAATGATCATACCGTGGAATTGCTTGTTTTGAGCACTGCTTTAGATCTTAGAAATGGAGTTATACTGTTCAAGATTGATGATATTTGTAAACTTGCAGAGAAGTTCTATCCGAATGATTTTATGGAGCAAGAACTAGTACGTCTAAGAATAAAATTTCAACATTTTGAGCTCAACATTCCAAATCATCCTGAATTGCAAGAATTATTTGGTATTGATGAGTTATGTCAAGGCTTGGTGAAGACAAGAAAATCAGTGATATATCCTCTTATTAATAGATTGATTACACTTGTTCTTACTCTTCCTGTATCAATTGCAACTACAGAGCAGCATTTTCAATTATGAAAATAATCAAGACAAAGCTTCAAAACAAGATGGAAGATAATTTCTTGAATGGTTGTCTAACTGTGTATATAGAAAAGGAAGTTGCTGAAAAATTTAGCAGTGATTCAATCATAAATGAATTTAGTTCTATGAAAGAGCGTAGAGCTCAATTTACTTCTAAGAAAAGATGTTGAAATTTCAAAGTATGTTAACATAACTTTTATCTTTTTTCAATTGAAAATAGTTACATTTAAATTACATGGTTATATATATGTATATATATATATATATTGCATAGGTGACATATTGGAGAGTATCATCTCATAATGTGCAAATTGGATAGTTTATAACATATTAAATTCGGCCCGGCCCGGCCGTCGAATCGGTCAAACCGGTGACCCGGTCATCGGACTGGGCCAGGTTTCAAATCAGATTGTTTGAGCAAGGGGACCGTTGACTAGTCAACGACCCAGCGGTCTGACCGGCTTAATCGAAAACCCGGCTGGTTTTGTCCTTGAACCCGGTTTTGTGGAAAAATTTTAGTGCCTTTGTTGGAGTTCGAACCTTGGATCTATGCCCAACACTACAACATACTTACCACCAAGCTACTTCGACATGTGCTAATAAACTACCTTTATTATAATATATAAATGTTTTTTCAATTCTACCTTTTTTTCTCTAAAACAAATATATTGGAATCTTTTAGTAAAAATTTATTACCCTTCAAACTCTATAAGTTATAAAATAGATTTCAAAAATAGCATATTATATAATTCATTTTAAAGACAAATATTATTTTAATAATTTTTTACACTTAAAATTCATAAATAAGTTAGATAATCACACTAAATATTGATAAAATTTTACACTTGAAGTTTGGTGTATTACTAAATAACTTTATATTTGATTGATTCTTATATGAATTAATTATTTTATAGCAAATTAAATTAAATGAGCTTTTGCTATGGCATTATTTATTACAATTTATATCATATATCTTATATAAAAATTTATGAAATATAATATTTAAATATATTTAGTGACCCACCGGTTCAACCACTCACCCACCGGTTGAACCAGTAACCTGTTGACCCACCTCCTTCGCCGGACTCCTTCCCGGGTTGGGTTTAATAACTATGGTTTGTAATGTTATAAGATATTTAATCAAATGTTATCTTTTTTGTTAATTTTTGTTAATTTTTGTTATGATTGTACTGCATATTTATGAATAGACATACCTTTATAATTAAATTTAATATTTGATATTTTTAGATGTCATATATTTAAATATAAGAAAGTTATTTTGAACATAATATATTAAGATAATTTTATTAGGAAAAAATTTTGGCCCACCAAAAAAAAATTCTGACTCCGTCACTGGACATAGGCTAGTCCAACGCTAGACCCTTAGGAGCCCTTCGAGCGTTAGACCATGATTGTATGACTACACTACATTTTCATGCATATTTTTCACTTTCTAGGGCTTTTTATCACTTTTGCATGACATTCCCCTTTATACATTTACCCCTTACCCCATGTTCCCTATTATATGTATATCCTTTATTCCATATTCCCCTTATATTTTTATTCCCTATCCCTATGTATGAGACACGACATTAGACTTGCATTTTATTTAGGAAATTAGGGATAGATTAGTGCATTTTGTTTGATTATATTAGAGAAAACCCCTTAAATATGGGATATGGACGAGTTTGGCTCTCCAGATTTAACACGCTCGTATTCCCTCTATATTAAAAGAGAAAATTGAGTCACAAACATTAGTCCCCCGTACCCGACATGATGCACTCCTTTAAGACATGTATATTTGTATAATTATGATTATTTTTATTATTTTTCTTTTCTTTTTTTAGAGTCTCATATTTGTGCATTATTCGTGACCTCTTCAAAGAGTCTTTATTGGATATCACGATTAATGTGATTTGTACCAATTGAGCTTTAAAGAGAAATTCCAACCCCCCGATACCATCTTAGATCTAGGGTTTGCATTCATGTAGATGTCTCCAAAATGTGATAAATGTTTAGGTTAAAATAAGAAAATCTTTGACTAAATCACGTAACTATCATTGGTTAGGTTGAAAGGGTGTCTTGGATTTTTATCCTTGCCTTCCATTTCTTCAAATGTGACTCTCGAACACTTTCTCTGATTTTCATAGACTTAGGAGTCGTTTAAAAAGAGTTTTTCATAATTTTATTTAAAAATTTATTTTTAGGTGATTTGCTATACCTTAACTCAATACCAAGTGACGACTCCGATTTTTTATTCAAAAAACCCATTTTAAACTATTATTTTGGGTCAAATCGTCGCATTTTCAAGTCCCATTTAGACCCACATTTTTTATTTATTTTTCTAAAAATCAAAAATTCATTTTTTGATCAAAATTAATCAAAAATTTCATTTTTCTAAACTAAAATTTATTTTTCTTTATTTAAAAATGGGGCGCGACAATAGGGAGGCATATACCTAACCTCTTGGAAATCACATTTGAAAGTAGAAGCAACAAAACATAAACAATGGTTACTACTCCTTTCCAAGCAAATTGAGGATTACAAAAACCAAGGGATTCTATCTAAATTTAGCATGCTTCTAACCAACTTTGTAAATTGAGAAGATTGTACGCTTTACTTGTCTGGATAGAGCTGGTCAGATTTGCCAAAGCATCTGCCACAGAATTTGTTAATCTTAACATTGCGTATAATCCGCACTCCTTCTGAAGGTCCTGGATTACCCAAAGAAGATCCGTCTACATTCAGCTTTAGAGCGTGAATTATTTATTGTGCATGTTATTTCCAGCACGATCTAAATTGGTTAACAGGGGAGGAACAGTTGATGTGCATAAGTGCTCCATGGAGTTCAATCTAAACGCAGTGTAAACTGACTACATCTCATAGAACTATAGAAGTCTCCCTTTTTTTAACAACTTTTGGGTGCAATTGTTCTGCACACATTGTTTGTCACCCCAAACCAAAAAATTTGTTTCAAGGCATGGTCATATAGATGAATGTCAACAGAAACTTATACTTAAGCAACGAAAACAAACTAAATTTAATGATTGAATTTAGTTTAATGCTTTAGTTTGAAATGTAAAAGCTGACAATGAATGAAATCCGACAGCGAGTCAATAATACCATAATAGCTCTCTTGTAATGTTGTAACTTTTACTTGTCTTCATTATTCTTGTTTCACACACTTCATCTCAGAATTCATTTGATTTATTACATGATCTTCCATCACAATAACGATGTTCAATGCCATTTTTAAATCAGAAGTACTAAAGTGTGGTGGAAATGGTGAGATGATTTATGCAGGGAAACTTATGGTGCCGGTGCCACAACTCCCAGTTTGACGGGGAGGAGTCACACACATCAAATCTGGCACATGGTTACTGATAGCTCTGTAAATAGTAGAATTTACCGACCTTACGGTAGGATTGCTGCCGGGAGATATGTTGCCTGTGGCAAGATAGTTCAAAATATTATGTCCTTGACTGAGCTGAATAGTCCTGCTGAAGTATGTAGCTTGGGGATACATGTTTTCCGAGCACGTCCCATGCTTTGTCCATTCATGTTCCCAAAATGATTGAAACCTCGGCTGTTGAAAATTTTGCATAGTTGGCGATGGTTTGGCGAGGTCTGGCCACCGTAAGTTTCTATTGTTCCAATCCTGGAAATTCTGCTTACAAGAATGATCATTACATTAGTGAACCTGTGTAAGTGCATATTTCATGTTCAAGACATAAGAAAGCCCTGTAGAAATTACCTGTAGTGGAGTATATGCAGATTTTGTGCAATTTTGCAAAATTTTGGTGAAGTTGCCCGGCCAAAGACCATGGACTGTGAAAACGGTTGGTAGAGGGTTTCTTTGACATCTGCTTGGATTAGCTGGATTAACAGTACAATAGCCTTTCGGCCATTGTTGCACAAAAGTAAGGTACTGAAAGCTTGAGTTGATTGTCAGGGGGCAAAGCATGAGAATCAAAAGGACAAGTTTAAACACTATGCCCATCATCCCAACGACAGTATAGCGATTGGCACATAAAAATTTTGGTTGTGGAGAGTGGAAGACTATACTTCTATTAGGGATAACCGGGCCTATTTATAGAACTGCTGATTAAATTTTACTCCCTCTGTCCCACTTTGTTGGGTTTATTTTATTTTTCATTCTTCTAAATTATTATCCACTATTCAATTGAAGAATGTAGTTAACTTATAATTTTCTCTAAAATATTTATTTTTAATGTAAGTTGTTATTGAGTATAACCAAACTTATTTAATGTAAAGCTAATTAATCATACTCCATTTAATGTAAGGGAATTTTAGAAAGATAATATGCTAGATTTATTCTTCCAACAAAATTAATTAACTTTTCTTAAATTGTGTGGAAGAACAAACCAAACCTATAAAGTTCGAAAGCAGTACTAAATCTGTTAATGTTATTGGTCCATAGGGTCATACTATTGGGGAGGGATTTCTATGGCATAAATTGACACGAGAAAGGAAAAAATATGAACAAGAAAAGCCATTAAACCATATATCAACTGTTTGCAAACATGTATTTGATACTCAAGAAATTTTAATGACTAATCTGCCATTCCATAAGACTGGAAAAATTGGAGATAGTTTGATAAACTGATTTCTATTGTTAAGTTGGGAAAGTAAAAGGTGTAATTGCATTAGTATTTTATTTAATTTTAAACAAGCAACATTTTATGGTAAACATGTTTACTTTTTCTGTGGTCAAGTATGCAACATGTGACTTGATTGATTAAAACAAAAAGGGAAAAAATGGTACCATACATGAGCCATGTTGCTCATGTGCTAAGTTGCAATGTCAGCTTTAGCATCCAAGAACTTATACGTTAGAGAATCAAACAATTTACAACTCCTGTAAATCATTCATATTCTGGCTGAAGTTTAGGCAATCTATTCCTAAATGTTTGACACAATTAGGACCATTAACCAAATATGAGTAGAATTCATCAATTAACACAATATTTGGCTAAGATCAAGGGACAAATAATTATAAATTTAGCAATAAATTGCAACCTATCAAAATTCGTTCTCCATAATTTCACAAAAAAAAAAAATAAAAAAAATCCACACTCCAAAAGAAAAGAAACGCATGAGACTGGGATCGAAAAATAAAAGGCTCCGTGCCTCATATTTGTTTAATGCGAGGTATGAAGTAATTCTTTTTTTTTTCTTTTGCAGATTGGAAATTTAATGGGACATTGCATTGGTGGAATTCTACACTTAAAACACCCCTTTTGCAGAAATTTTTTAAAATTCATCATCAACTTGGAAATTTCTCTCATATTCAGTTAAGAAATAGGATGAACAGTGACATGTTTAGTCTTTAATAGCATTGTGTATTTGTATTTGGGTTGGTATTTTCATAAGAACCACTGTAATTTGTAGCAATTTGAGATTTTTGTGACTGAGGTAAAGTTCGAAAATAGTACTGAATCTGTTGATGTTATTGGTCCACAAGGTAACATTATATGGGAGAGATTTCTATGGCATGAATTGATAGGAGAAAGGAAAAAATGAAAAAGAAAAACAATTAAACCATATATCAACTATATGCAGACACACAATCGATAGTCAAGAAATTTTAATGGCTAATCCGCCATTCCGTAGGACCGGCAAAATTGGTGATAGTTTGATAAATTGGTTTGGGTAAACAGCCAATTTCGTTTATAAACTTTTGTACCAGTGCAAATGTAGTTCCTAACTTTTATTTCTAACTAATTTGATATGTGAACCTATTTTGTGGTTCCACATAAGGACCTCTGTGGCAGCACTAATCAAATTGATCAACTAAATAGGGGTATTTTGAAAATATCGCACGAGGATGTAATAAATCAAGTAAATCATATAAAAAAAATTACAAGATTAAATTTTCAAAAAGTTTTGTGTGGTGATCTTTTACATGATTTAAAAGTTTTATTTGATGGTTTATGATTTACTTGTTTTATTACAGTACCATGAGTGACAATTCCATGACATCCCTTTTAGTTAGTTAATTAGGAGCCAAATTAGTTTTAGATAGTAGTGCCACTGCATAAATCCTTAATTGGAACTGCAAAATAAGTTCAAGTATCAAAGTAACCAAAAATAAAAGTTAGGGACAAAATTGGAAAAATTGGAGATAGATTTAATGGCTAATCTGCCACTCCATAAGACTAGCAAAATTGATGATAGTTTGACAAATTGGTTTCTGTCGTTGAGTTGGGAAAGCAAAAGGTGTAATGGCATTTATATTTTGTTTAATTTTAAACAAGCAACATTTTATGGTCAAGATGCTTAATTTTTCTGTGGCCAAGTATATAACACGTGACTCGTTTGATAAAAATAAAAAGAAAAATAAAAGGTATCATGCATGAGCCGTGTTGCTCATGTCCTGTGCTACGGCAATGTTTGCAGCAGACATAGGCACATGTTGGAAAAGAACTTGGTCCATGGTTTCCAAATCCCCTCGACAGAATCATAAAGAAGCAGAAGTTGAAAGTTTTCACTCTTCGAAAAACTGAAGTCCAGCGAGACTCATACTGCTGACTCCAGAATGCTGAAAACCATGGTTAAATATCAGTTATTTTTGAAATTGCACTAACATGCAAAATCCCTTTTTCGTTGTCCGCACAATTTACTAAGGTAAATTAATTTTTTTTAAGTATGAGTGAGAGGGTTCGGTTTGAAACCTCCCACTTATACTCCCTTTTTCGCAATCATCGAACCCATTTCTCTATTACATTAATGGGCCGCTTTTTTTTAGGAATTTTGGTATTTGAGATTACAATAATTTTAATACTGTGCACTTGATCCAGTACAATGAGAATTGAAATATTGAAATCATGTTTTAAAATTTGGCCATTCATGATACCCGACTAAATTGGAAAGAATTAACCAAAATCCTCATTAATGGGCCCTCTATCCATTATTCCATTTCCCTCTCCAATTCCAAAGCAAGAATCAAGCGCCTCCTAAGTTGATTGATTCTCCATTCTGGTTCATTTTGCCAGTTGCAAAGTCTGGTTACTAAAGTACTCCAAAGCACATGTAAGGGATAAATATCTCATTCCAATGCTACAACTCCCATCTCTTTCAAAAACAAAAAGGATCACCAGCAATAAAGACAGAGTAATTGTATCAGCGGTTGAATTTTCTAGTATTCGATTACACTTTCTAGGACAAATTATACTTTACCCCCCATGATTTAGCAATTTTTCACATAACCTCCCTATAATTTCAAAAGCTGTACTTAATCCTATAATAGTTTGGATTAAAGCGTCAAAGTGACGGAAATGATCATTTGTAACTAAACCTTTAAAAATGTCAAAATTACCCTTATAAATACATGACACACTAATCCCGTATGATTTTGTGTTTTACCATATGACCCCTTTATGATTTAATACTTTATCATATAATCCCCTTATGATTTTCAAAATATACACATAATCCCCCTTGGCTGATAAATAATTTTCAACTTTGCATAAGGGTATTTTTGACATTTTAAGTGACTCAGTTACGAATGATCATTCTCATCACTTCGACACTTTAATTCAAACCATGAGGGGGTTATGTATAGCTTTTGAAACTATAGAGGGTTATGTAGGAAAATACTAAATCACATGAGGCAACTTTCTAGGCAACGAGAAGCCATGGGGAACTCATTCTTCTCCTCTTTAACTTTGATATAACAAGAACAAAGAAGGTTCAGAGATCAAACATGCACCAAGTAACAATCATAAAGTTCAAATTTCTAACATATGATTCAAATGAAAAGACTTATTGTAAAAGCTAAGGCATCAAACCAAAAAAACTACGACCAATATTAAACTCATCTAACGAGCACGATTTTTCCAAGCCCCCATTCGATCTCCAGTTCAGTTCATTCGACGACCGCATAGTTCACCAAGAGCAACCAAACTTTCATGATAAATATTAGCTTGCAGGGTGGTTGGAGACCCATGAATGTTGTATTTTGTAAGACTTCCTCGATTATCACCTAGGACAGCAGACGAAGCCAATTGTCCATTGCTCATTTCCCAAAGCAGTTTATCACTGTTCCATGAAGATAACGGGCTCTCGATTCCGGAGAGTGGTCCTATGGAAAACTTTTTAACCCAAGACTCCTGCACACCGTACTCCATCATCACCCATATGTCGAAATGCTGATCCGAAATTTGACTCCCTGTAATGTTATACCATATCATGGCAAGTGAATTGTCCAAGACAATGAGTTTCTGCATGCCATACTCTCCTTCAGTGTCTTCTACTCTATCAGGATATTGAATTTCTCGAAATTGCTCAGTGCTCCATTCAAAAGAAAGGATCTGGAGGCCAAAACAATCAGTATTTAATGGTGTGCACCAATGGAAGCATCCATTAAATGAAACAGAGAAGCGCTCGTTATACACCATTTCCGGCAGGGTGACGTCTGGATCGAGTTCTCTCCAAGAATTAGTACTGAGACTGTATATTTCAGCTTTGCAGGAATTAGGATCGCCATTGTATTCGTCAGGAAAAATTTTTGTAAAAGTGATGATTTTGTAATCGTTACTAATTGCATCAAACCCAAACCCCAATTCACCCAGCTGACTAAAATACCCTTGTGGGCAACGAAAGGGACGATCAGGGAGTGTAAGAAACTCTCGAGTTGCAGGATTGCACAAATGAATACCAGAAGATTCATTACTTGTAAGACAAATTATGCCATGGCATGTGCCGACCAAAATCATATTGAGGTAAGTTGAGTACGGTACCTCAAAATCAGGGGCCACAACCTGGAGAGATAAAGATTCATCCTTTGAATGGAATGATAAAACAATTTTTCTCTCATCCTTGATGAAGCGCTTCACCAGGATGACACCTTCCTGATCGCCGCAATTGGCTCGGCTGACATGCAAATCAGTGAAACGGGGGCTTTTGATCAAAGAGCACCAAGATTTGCTAACGCATTTGAATTGGAACAAACATTTCACGGGTAATCTCACCAAGATCTGCATCAGGATGTCCTCCGGAAGAACATCCATTTCTCTGGGTT